TTATTGCTAACATCTTCAAAATGAATCGCTGAGAAACTAAATAAATCTACGTTTGGCTGTTGTTCAATGTGAGTCAAAATTGTTTCAAAGTAATTATCTGCAATATAGTCATCGGAATCAAGAAAGCCTATATATCTTCCCTTCGCAATTTTGATTGCATTATTCCTTGCGACACTCTGCCCTTGATTTGATTGATTAAGTATGACGAACTGTTTTTGCTGATTTTCAGAAAGGCCTCTAAGAACCTGCTCGACTATGCACATCGAATCATCAGGAGAGCCGTCATTTATAATAATAACTTCAACATCACTTGGGAGCTGTCTTACTATGCTTAAAAGACACTCCTCTATGTAATCTTGTACCTTATAAACAGGTACAATTAAACTCAACTTCACTATGCACCTGCTTTCTTATAGGTTGAACTGAGGAAAATTCGTCTATGGGTATCAAAAATGATATTGTTTTTAAAGAAATAATTAAAAACGGTAGTCGAAAGAATTTCAGTAACAAGTATGGCAAATACGGCGCCATATACTCCGTATACTTGAATGATTAAAAATGCCAGCACAATATTAAATACAACCAAAACGTTTGTTTTCTTTTGTAGATATGAATAAGCATTGAATTTTAATAAGTACTTTTCAGCAACTGTTGATAAACCAGAAAATAAACAAACAACGACCATCCACAAGATGATCTGTGCCGCCTGTTGAAACTGTTCGCCATACAATACTTTGATAATCCACTGCCCAAAGAGCAAGAAAAAGACAAATGCACCTATGCTAATAAATATGACCAATGCATTTAATCGAGCAACTTTCTTTTGAGACTCTTCCAATGACTTTTCTTGATAAATATCTGTCATAAAAGAAGAGATTAGAGCAACCAGTACAAAATAAAAACTTGTTCCCAGTGTGGCCGCTACAGTGTAAATACCTAAATCGTAAGCCGACTTTAAACCTAAAAATATTTGCGAGGTTTTAGTAAAAATTGCTACCGATAAACTATAAAAAACTAGTTTAGACCCCACATGCATCATATAAGATCTGTATCTTTTATCTTTAGAGTCGAGTAAAACATTCTTTTGTTTTACTCGCTTATAAAATGTTACTCTTCGGAGAAGAAAAGGAATAAGTGCAACAGCAATAATTGGTATTACCAAATATTCTACATTTAATTCTAGTACTGCGATGATATAACGCAAAATCAAAGATATGATAATACCAATCACGTTACAAAATGCATTTATTTTTGACTCTAAGACAGCATTGAAATATATATTAAAAACATCATGTAATGAAAAGAATACCGCAATACAAGACGCAACTGAAAAAATAAAAGTAAGTAAATCAACAGAAAAATATAAGTATGTTAGTAATATCGAGCTACTTATTAAGAATAATATATTCCGTATAATCCTTGTGGCTGCGATAATTTTAATCCCCATTTTGGGATCTTTACTTGTTTTTTGGAAAATAACACTTTCAGAGCCAAAAAGAGAAATTGTTTGGACAATTGCAAACAAAGATCCAGCAAATGTAAGCTTCCCAAAATTTTCAGGACCTATATATTTAGCAACAAATGATGTCACAAAGATTAGCCCAAAGATTGAGATAATTTTTTCAGATATCATCCAAAGCGAATTAGAAAAAAGCCGGCCTTTTAATAAAGAAAATAGTTTCATGGTTTATAATTTTGTACCGACTTAATTTCTATACAATATTTCATCTAGCTAGATTAAAAAATTTTATTTTCTAATATAGCCTGCTTTAAACTCAATGCGTATTTATCTTTATCTGTTAATTTCAGCTCAAGTCCATGCTCAATTGGCCATTCAATGTTAATGGTTTCATCATCCCAAACAATAGAGCACTCACATTCTTTAGAGTAATAGTTCGTTGTTTTATATAAGAACTGCGTATTATCCTCAAGAGCCACGAAACCGTGTGCAAAACCTGCTGGAATCCAGAACTGCTTATGGTTTTCACCAGTAAGTTCTACACCGACCCATTGACCAAATGTAGGAGAACCTTGGCGAATATCAACAGCCACATCCCAAGCACGGCCTTGTACTACACGTACCAATTTGCCCTGAGCATGTGGATTCAGCTGGTAATGCAACCCTCTCAGTACACCTTTTTGAGAGTACGAATGATTATCCTGAACAAAATTTGGAACCTCAAGACCGCGCTCTGTTAAAGCTTGTTCAAAGTTTTTTTGGTTAAAGCTTTCCATAAACCAACCACGGTCATCTCCAAACACGCGTGGTTCAAGCATAAGTAGGCCATTAATTTTTGTTTCAATAATATTCATTCGTATCACTCAGTTTTATCTAGTTTTTTATAGCACTATATTTATGCTTGACGCTCTTTATATAGTTTCAGCAAGTACTGACCATAACCTGTCTTTTTAAAGAACTCGCCACGCGCTTTGAGCTGATCGGCATTGATCCATCCATTGTTGAAAGAAATTTCTTCC